TCTTAACAAGAAATGTATCAGACAGAATCTGTCAGAATGTTACTAAAATAATTAGGCCACATGACTTTTTGTGTGTGTGTAGGTATTGAAAATGTAACATAATAAAAGAACTATAGCATAATTAACATACCTGTTGCACATGAAAGTCACTGCTGATCCTGAAAAAGAGAACTTATGGACAGGATGTTTGCAAGTGGTGTTCTAAAGAATGAATTCTGGAAACATTTTGAAAAATACTTTTAATTATGATTAAAGTATGAAAGTACAAGGAAGGGTACTGATGACAAATTTGAATCCTCTATACATAGCTAAATGAGAAAAGATATCTTGGAAACTGGAGTAATAAGGATGAGGTGAATTGTAAAGGTATGAAGTTTAAGGTCATATATTTGGGGTCAATTATAAGAATTAGGAATGGACCTGTGATCTAATCCCTTAGAAGAAATAGAAGAAGAGAAATACAGTGAGTTAACGGAATACAATGAAAAATATAATGAATTACAAAAGAGCTACAGCCATGCATGAAAAGAGTACGCTCGAAGGATTCCAGAGAGAAATAATTGCCAGTAGATAGGGTGAAACATAGCTTTGGAAGGGAGATGTTTTGGTTATATTTTGTTTTATTTCTACAGAAGACAGAATGATGAAACTTTTTTTCTTGTCTGAAACTTCTGCCATTGCTGTGATGTAAGTCAGAAAATTACTTAATCAAAATGACATAATAAGGGTAGAAAGGTATAACATAGAGATATCTTTACTGGGAATGCAAGAACACATTACTCATAAATTCAGCTTCAGGTCCTAAGAAAAAGTAAAGCATAATTTGTTGTAAATTTAGTTTGGCCAGGTGCTGAACAATCAACTGTTTATTGCAAGAGTGAAGTGTATCCCAGAATAGAGGTCTACCTAGGCCTTTTAGTGTAACTCTGTGTTTACATAGCAAGTTTTGTGGTTTTTAACATATTTTTTTAGCTTTTGCGTTCACAACCATATGAAACCTATAAGATTAACTCAAAACCATTGTTAAAAGGTATGAAGTTATCTACCTTTACAAATTATTTCTGACTAACCTCATTATTCTTTAGTACTATGAAATCAACTTTTATGTCATAAATATAGAATTCATGAAAAGAGCTATTAAAGAGCAAATCATCCAGATTTTGAAATACTATAAATTATCATCTGAGACAGATGTGCTTGAATAGCTCATTTCAATTTACTTAAACTGCACTGCCAGTAAATGAATGATTAAATCCATGAGCAAATAAAATAATGAGTGAATTTTTCTCAGTAAGATCAAAATCAGTAGGTATGAAATGAAGACTGTTACTCCTTTAATACAAACTTTATACCCTGGTAGTATGTATGTATAAAATCCCAATTACAATGAAACCTATATTTTACTGTAGTGTAGTAGATGTCAAAAATCTGTACAAAGTTAGATCATAAAATTCTTGAAAGTCCTATGTTATTTTTGGTAGAGTTCAGATGGTCTGTGAGCCAGAAAGAAGAGAGAATCAGTAGTTTCCTGTTAGTGCTAGATAAAGTCTCTCCCTGAATACAAAGAAGAAAAAGGGGGTTTTGTTTGATATAACAGCAGACAACTTTTGGAAGTCTTCCAGTTTACAAATTAATTATAATGGCTGTAATCAGGTATTTTAAACTCTGGAAAGCAGGGTCTCATTTAAACTTGGGTTTGTGTGACTGCATAAAGCCAGACCCAGATTTCAATTTTGCTAGGTTGCTAATGAAACAAAAATATTGAAATGTGATTGTGTATCACCAACAGTTTTTCAGCTCACAGAGATCGATATGGATCAAATCCTGACACCATTACTTTAGAGAAGCATTCAGTAAAGATGCAAAGTGGGAGAGTTCTGTCGTGGATTGTGGCAGAAACAGCATCTATGGGAATATACTGCAGGTACTGGAGGGCAGTGGGAATAACAGACTCCTTGAACTCTCGGGATAGAGATGGGATGAAATTTCGATATTCAAAGGAGGTCTTAAATAGACTTTAGTGCACTGAGAACTCGCATAAGTAAAGATAGCTGATTATTCAAACTAAATATATGCTATGCATAGGTCAGGAAAAAATACATGCAACTTTTGATCCTCAGCTATATGAGAGTACTGGCCTTAACACCAGTTTGTGAGAGTTCAGTGTTCTGTGAAGAAGCAGAGCTGTGCTAATCTCCTTGGCTGCTTGATACGCGTAAAAACAATACTAGTGGAAAATGTGATACAAAGTAATGTATTGAAATGCAACACTGTCTTCTTCCCTTTTGTGATGAGCCTATTTTCATGTCTATATTCAATTGTAAGAATAAATTTGTCACTGAACAAGCTAAAAGTAAATTTCTTGTAGCATTATTCCATTACATAGATAGATAATGATGACATTAGCTGGGCAAGAATAGATGCTGTATGTCACAGGAAGCTTTGAAGAAGAGTTGTTTTTTCTCCCCTTCTGATCCACTGAAATTCTGACAATGTAAGATTTGATGTGATTTTCCTGGAAAATAGTAAAGTTGAGGTACTTCAACTTTGCAACGTCTGATATGATTACAAGGATTGCAAATGTGAATATAGTGCAAGATTCTTAATCAGCATGTTACAAAGAAAAAATACTGGTTTTATGAAGACAACTACAGACAACTCTCTATAGTGACAAGTTTTCAATCATTATGTTTCCTTTTGTAGACTACCCTTCTGTCAGCAGGAGATTCAAATCCAGCTTTTTTCTTTTGGCTTTAAGGTCTCAGACTAAAAATGCAAGATGTTTTTAAGCTGTTTGTACACAAGTATGCAACAATTAAGAGGAAACAAAATTATTCCAGAGCTCTGCTGTAGCTATGGCAACTATCTTCCACTGCACTTTATTTAGATAAATAAACCTGACAGCTAGTAAGAATGAGGTTTAACATCTTTTTTCTTTCATGATGGAATTTCTTAAATGTTATTTTCTTGGGAAAATAATATTATATATATATATATAAAAAAATTGCTATTACTTCTCCATTAAAAGTTTTTTTTAACACAGTGTGTTAAATAATTTTAGATTCAATTTCATGCAAATGAAATTTACAATGCATTGTTTCTTTTTTTGTCATTTTACTTAGTTGGAGAAAATTAATTTGGACTGAAGTGTTAGTTCTAGTGAAACTATGGGTTTAAAAGTGTTTCACCAATTTGCCTTTGGTTTCCCAAGCTCCTCTCATATAACTTGTGAATACATATTTTATATGTAGCAAAAGCCCAGAGAGGACAAATCTCACACTGTAAGTAACCAATTTTATAAGTATGCTGTGAGATCAAGGCTCTGTTAGTGATGTCCAGTGACATGCCAATTTAGGCCAGCACTGCCAACATTCACTTGTCTACAGCTTTTTTCCTTGTGAGGATGCTGATTCCTTCTCGATATCCCCTTTACCTTTCCTCCTGTCAGCTTTTAGTGCAAAGCGTGATGTCATATGGTATGGAGTACATCTTTGGTCAGTTTGGGTCAGCTGTTCTGGCTGTGTCCCATCCCAACATTCAAGGCCTGCCTAGTGGCCTTTGTGGTCAAAGGGGATGATGGAGAGATGGCCTTGATGCTGTAGGAGCACTGCTCAGCAGTGGCAGCAGCCAAAACACTGGTGTGTGTTATTAACACCTTTCTAGCTACCAATACAAAGAAGAGCACTATGAAGTTCTTATTATGTATAGGATCAACCAGATCCTATAGTAATCCTATACATAATCCAAGTGAGAAGTTTGCTTTCCTGACCATTATTTTTATGTGTATTATAGTACAATTCTTTGATAGACTGAAGAGTTCACTGGCTGCATGCTAAGGGATGGAGAAGACTTTTCTGCCAGTGTAGTATGGTGACCCTGTGGGAAGTCATACATGCATCTACTAGTGCCTCCTTTCACAGAATCATGGAATCACAGAATCACAGAATTGCTTGGGTGGGAAAGGACCTTAATATCATCCAGTTCCAGTCTACTAGTTGCTGAAATCATGCTATGGTATTTGTGTGAATACTGCTAAATATTGAGAAGAAAATCCAAGTTTCCATAGTGATTGTTCAGTGTCACAAAACACTGGAGCAGTCAACACAGATTTTTAGGCAAATTGAATTCAATCATTAGCAGTTTTCCTCATATGTTATATGGAATTCTGAGACAAACAATTATTCATAATTCATTATTTTTCAAAAAAATATGGAATTATTTCAGTCCACAGAAATTCAGAATTTATCTGCATTTTCTCTTTGATGCAGCATTATTATTTTGAAAATGGTGATTTTCTTATTTTATTTTTTCTCTGACATTTGTTATCTTTTATTGATAGATGTAAACTTATATAAAAGCCAGAATGCATATGTGTATGTGTGTATATATATGTTGTAAAAATGTAAAAACATGTATTGAAAATAAATATGGAAATTTAATTATAGGCACTTTTTACTAAATTTCTAATTCTGTAAGGCTGCGTTTGAATTTGTTAATAATATATATATATTTGTACATACTGTAACATATGCTTGAATAAGGGGATTTTTGTTTCCAGTTATAAACCATCTGAAATATCTGACATATTTGAGTGGAGCTGTCAGCTGCAGAACCACTGTAAAGGGAATTTTGTGGGAGCAATTTGAAATTTTGTTTTGAATCTGTTTTTTACAGCGTGTAGGAAACAACATATTCATTTATAATCTTTTAAGTTGTTTTTGTTTTTTTTTTTAAGGAGGATGTGTTTAGAGACAGATATATTATAAAATTTTCTTTGCAAAGTTAGTTTCACAAGTACATGATAAGTATCCAAAGCAGTAGGTTGATGCTGGCATTCTTTAATTGTGAAGTGCCATAACAATATGATTTTACTATTGTTTATAATAGTAAACATGAAACATGATGAGAAAATGAACATGAGCAGGCAGTGTGCGCTTGCAGCCCAGAAAGCCAACCGTATCCTGGGCTGCATCAAAAGGAGAATGACCAGCAGGTCGAAGGAGGTGATCCTGCCCCTCTACTCTGCTCTCGTGAGACCTCACTTGGAGTATTGTGTGCAGTTCTGGTGTCCTCAACATAAAAAGGACATGGAACTGTTGGAACAAGTCCAGAGAAGGGCCACAAGGATGATCAGGGGACTGGAGCATCTCCCGTACGAAGATAGGCTGAGAAAGTTGGGGCTGTTCAGCCTGGAGAAGAGAGGGTTGAGTGGAGACGTCATAGCAGCCTTCCAGTATCTGAAGGGGGCCTATAGGGATGCTAGGGAGGGACTATTCATTAGGGACTGTAGTGATAGGACAAAGGGTAATGGGTTAAAACTTAAACAGGGGAAGTTTAGATTGGATATAAGAAGGAAATTCTTTCCTGTGAGGGTGGTGAGGCACTGGAATGGGTTGCCCAGGGAGGTTGTGAATGCTCCATCCCTGGTAGTGTTCAAGACCAGGTTGGACGAGGCCTTGGGTGATATGGTTTAGTGTGAGGTGTCCCTGCCCCTGGCAGGGGTGGTGGAACTTGATCTTAAGATCCTTTCCAACCCTAACTATTCTATGATTCTATGATTCTATAATAAATATATTTATTATAAACACATTTACACATTAGCTCTGCAATACTAATGTTGCATTGATGTTATATTCAATAATATTCCAACTTCTAGGTAGAGCAAATAAATTTTAAAGATATCTATAAAATGTCTTTTAAGAAATCTAAATATTTTTGTAAATAAATTGTCAATTTTGTGTGTATGCTGGCAATGTGAGCTAGTTACTGCTATCCCCAGGCCCCTTTGCCAGATTTGCATAATCAGCAGAAATAATATAGTCTTAACCAAAATGTTAATAGTTTAATTAATGTCCATGTTATATACTTATCAGATATTGGGCATAGACATATATTTCATTTATCAATTTTTCACAGATAATTAAATCACAACTTAGTATATGCAACAGGGTATTTCCAGCCAGCTAGGTTAGTTTTAATGCTAGGATAATGGTCAATTACATAACCTGAGATCAGATCTATCTGGAAATTCTGAACACATTCCAAAGAAGACCATCATGAATGTGCATTTACAATAATCTATCTTTGTCGCTGAATTGTCCATGCTCAAAATAATTATTTCTTGTCACTGGAGAAGTACATGCCAAATTTATGCATAGAAGTGCAATTGGATATCATGTTAGCTTGAAAGAGACTCGACTCTGTTGTGAATAGTAAATCTCAGTTACTAAATCAATAATTTAAAGTGTTCTTTAAGGGTATTTCTTTGTTTCAAATCCCTCTCTGGAGGCACCCAGCATGAGCTGCTTTTGCCGCTGTACCAGTCAAACAAGTTACTTTATTGAACTTAAACATCTTGTCAGGAGAGAGTAGACATAAATGAAAAGGAGTCATAGATCCATAGAACAGTTTGGGTTGGAAGGGACCTTAAAGTTCATCCAGTTCCAGTCCCCCTGACATGGGCAGGGACACCTTCCACTAGATCAGGTTGTTCAGAGCCCCATCCAGCCTGGCCTTGAACACTTCCAGGGGTGAGACATCCACAACTTCTCTGGACAACATTTTCCAGTGTCTCACTACCCTCGCAGTAAATAATAAATAAAGGTCTGGTCTCACAAGAGCAGAATAAAGTGGGAGGATCACTTCCTTTGACCTCTGGTCACATTTGTATTTATGCAGCCCGGAATATGGTTGGTTTCTGGGCTGCAAGCACACACTGACCGCTCGTGTTAAGCTTCTCATCAGTCAACACCTCCAAGTCTTTCTCTTCAGGGCTGCTCTCAATCCATTCTCAGCCCAACCTGTGGCTGGGCTTGAGATTTCCCCAGCCCAGGTGCCGGACCTTGCACTTGGCCTTGTTCAATATCATGTGTTTTGCATGGACCCACCTCTCAAACCTGTCAAGGTCCCCCTGGATGGTATCATTTCCCTCCAGTGTGTTGACTGCACCACAGAGCTTGGTGTCATGAACAAACTTGCAGAGGGCATACTCAATCCCACTGTCCATGTCACCAACAAAGATGTTGAACAGCACTGGTCCCAACACTGACCCCTGAGGGACGTCACTCATCAGTGGTCTCCACTTGGGCATAAAGACATTGACCGCAACTCCTTGGGTGCAATAATCTAGCCAATTCTTTATCCACCAAATGGTGTATGCATCAAATCTATGCTTCTCCATTTTAGAGACAAAGCTGTGAAGAATCATTGAATTGAAGAAAAGAAAGAAAAAGCCACTTTGTTACACTTTTTATTGAAGACTGATTTTAAGACATGCATGAAATCAAAAACTGCCATATAGACAGTAAAAGACACTGTTGTCAAGATAGGCTGTCCTAAGGTCCAATAGCAAAATTATGAAAAGGTGGAGACCAATACGTCAGCTTCTGTTTGGCCCCCTGGAAGTGCATCCTTGGATCTGCATTTGGGAAAGAACTCAGGAATTTCTGCTGAAGAGTTAGGAGAAAGGTGACATGGCAGGCCTTGAGGAACACTTTGAATTTTATTGGTTCACATCTTCAGTTGTTTTAAGACTTGAAAACTTTACAAGGGCCATAGAAGAATAATGTCTTCAAGGCAGATTGTGAAAATTTGACATTCTGAACAGTTCTCAGAAACATGCTGCTGTTGGTTTACAGGCAGGAATTTTTACAAATATTCCTCTAAGATTTCTAACACCTAGGGCAGCCATGCTATTGACTGCTGCCTGGGAAAAAATATAAAAAAGAAATAGCAGATCCTGAAAACAGAGACAAAATATGAATGTGTGCAAGAAATAGAAAATAGTTTACAAATAGTAGCTGAAAAACCAATACAAGGAGGAATACAAATCTTTACAGCTCTGCAAAATTTATTTTTTTTTTTTCTAAAGAGCAACTGTTTCCTAGAAAATGTATGAATTCCAAGAAAATTATGAGCTTTCAAAGCTTGCAGAAGTCCCACTAGGATATGGATCATTTCATAAACTCAGTAAGACTACTGTTAGGAGAAAGGTCAGCCCCTAAAGAACTGTCTGCACAAGACTATGTTAAGCAAGAAAAGCCTCTGCAGGTGAATGGCTACTCAAAGACTCAAGTATTTCTGTGAAGTTTTAGTCTGTGAAATGTTTGGAAGTTTATAACCTGGCAGCATCTATTTTTGTACCTAAATTGTAGGTAATTTAATTAGTAAGCTTTTCTATATATCTAGTAATTGTTTGTGTTCGGTGTGTGGCATGTTTGAAAATTAATAGAGGTCCAATATCTTTTCCTTAATACAAGCAGCTCTAGAGATATATGTGAGCAATTGCTGAACACATGCTTACTTTCATAGTCAGTGCATTGACAGTGTAAAATTAGGTTGTAAAGTGCTGTAAGATATCTTCAGTATGAAAGGTTCTGTATAAATCCAAATTCCAATCCAAATTTCAATCTGTTCAAATGAACATAGTTATTAAGTCTCTGTATTGTTATTAATGTGCTATAAAATTATATTAATCCTCTTTACATTTGTTTTAACTTACTTCTGGCATCAGTACGAAAAAAAAGTCCCTGAAGTTATTTCATGAAACTGCTATACTATCAAAAATAAAGTGATAGCTATCAGGCTCAGACCTTAACTGTACTGTTCATCTTCTTTTCAACGTAAGTGAATGCACCTTGGACAAACTTGGAAACAATTCTGTTTGAGGAAGTGGAAGAGTAATACCTGTTCTCTGAAACCAGACTTATGATAGTTTTATGGACTGGGAAACACGGGTTTTCATTTTTCAGAGTATGATTATAGCTTTCGCATACTTTCTTAAATTCACTTTACATTGGAAGCAAGACTCAAAAGTTCAGAAGGTTTTGGAACCTACTGATTTAAGCATAGTTTATTATGATTACAAGAAATTTGGTAGCTGCTGATGATAATTTTAGGGAATAATGTTCTTTGGTAAAATGTGTATCATTCTGACAGTTTAGGGAGTGGTAGCAGAAACAGCTTTGTTGCACTTAGCATGCTACCAAGTAACCTGATTTGACTTTAGAACCGCTTTTTCTAAACAGTTTTTCATTTGGGAGCAGAGGGGTGGCAGGGGACAATTATTAGCAGTCTAGCTGTTGATAATTTTCATAAAAACAGACTGGTTGGCTGGGGGAGTTTTTTTCCTGTTGCTGTCATGTTTTAATGCTCGTGGAGGTTGAAGCAAATAATTTTTGCAATATTACGTTAGTGTACCAATTACAAATACACAGCTCTTCTAGTCTCACAGATCCTCACTATTAGAGAGCTTAAGCAAAAAAAAAAAAAAAAAAAAAGTGGGGCTCTCATGCTTATTAGATGCGTATGTACTTTTCAGATTCCTGAAATCTTTCAGGACAACGCATAATTTAGATGCTGAAAAGAAAATGAAATGCAGCACCTACAAACTCAAAAGTAGAAAGGACAATGCAGAAATATCTTGGCACAGTCACTGCTGAAATTTTTGCCACGAGAAATCCTGGAGACACATAAATAATGCTTAAATTAAATATATTCTGGTTGCACGCTGCCCTGCATGATTATCCACACTCTTAATACTTATGTTCACATCTAATTCAGCTCTAGAAAATCCAGTTCACTTTTAGGTTAGGGGAGGTGTGGGGGCTAAGGGTACAGTACTGGCTGAGAATGTTTTACACCTCTGTTCTTATGACGAGAGTGGGCTCAACAAGAATTGTCTTAACCTGCTTTACTCTTCCATAGCACTTACACTTTTTATGCCACAGTGTCTCGCACATACTTCTGTATCTTCACGCCCTGAGCAGTGTCACATTACAAAAGTTGAGTGCGTCAAGGCTCAGAAAATCACTCTTTCCCAACATCAAACCTGGTGCTGGCAGAGAAACTGCTTAGGACACCGAGGAAAACATAGCCAAAGTTAAAATATGAGTGGGAGCATAGTTACATCAACAGCTTCCTTGCATGTGAAATTTAAAAGCATGATATCTAATCTGTAAATGCCAGAACAGAGATGTACTGGATGTTCAAATTCAAAGCCATGTCTTTGGAAAACTGTGACTACCAATGCTCTTTCTTTGAAGACTTGTATAAAATCTT